GGTAGATATAACTTCATTCGGTATGAAGTTTGATAATTAAGTTCAAAAACAAACTGTGCTTACAGCAAGGAGAGCACACTGTTTAAGGGCAATAGGGAGAAAAAGATGATAGGGATTGTAGGTGATGGTTGGCTTACTGTGGATCAATAGTGTAATATGATTCTTAATGAGCTAATGTGTCTTTTAGTCATTGATTCATTTAGTATTTCACTCTACAAATATTTAAGTAGGCACCTACTGCCAGATACTCTAAGTGTTGAAAATATGAATATGAGTAATGATCCTTGCCTTCAAAACCTCCTATGTTAATGGAAGATAAAGACATGAAAATTAAAGACTACAACAGAGACAAAACTGTAAAGATACAAAACTATGAACATAGATTAGAAAACAAGGAATGACCAAAAAGAGATTCACCAAGGATAGTGTTCTTGGGTTGGGTTTTTAAAAAGCTGGGCTGGAATTAGGGAGTTATCAGGAGAGGGAATTTTTACATAGAAGCTCATATGGTAAAGAATATATTATTTTCATGGCTAGAAAATGGTGACTTGAGGAGTTGTGAGAAGATAGTGTGGGCCAGGTGAAAGAAGGTTTTCAAATCCTTAGCAAACTGGTTGAAATGTTGGCTTCTGAGAAGGGATAGGGAATCATTGAGGGGTTTAAAAAATATGCTTTTACCAGCTGGCTTTGGTAAGGGTGAACTGAGAGTGGATGCTGGGAGAACAGTTAGGAACAAAAGTTTGGATATGAGGATGATGATCTATCCAAAAAGGCTGAATTTGTAGTACAGAGGGGTCAACAGTAAAAGAAAATGGTAGTACTTGCTTCAAAATCTTAGCCATTGTCAATGGCTAAAATAAACATGGGAGTTTATTTTTGTATCTGCTTTTATCAGGTACCTGATGTTCAGGAATCCAGTAGGGATTCCCCGGAATTATTGTGAACTCCCAAAGGGTTGATTAAAACCCAAAAGCATGATTGTTCCGTGCTGCCAAGTCAGAATGCTGAGTGAACTTATAGTTTCTATGGATTTAAGTTGAGTTCTATTGGTAACAGAGTGAGGTAATACAAGACTAACCAGCGATTGATCTTGAGTCAGGAGCAAGCTGGAAAAAGCACTTGATGATCAGTAACAGTTAAAAATGAGCTTGGGATTACTTGTGCTTTCACAACCCCATTTAATGATTCAACTACAAACGTTTCCTTAAGACCTCAAAACAGGGGTTGGTGCTCTGGGATAGCAGGTTAAGCTGCCATCTGCAGCACCAGCATCCCATAGGGGTGCCAGGTTGAGTCCCAGCTGCTCGATTTTTGACCAATGCAGCTCCCTGTTCATGGGCCTGGGAAAGCAGCAGAGGATGGCCCAAGTGCTTGGGCCCCTGCACCCATGTGGGAGACCTGGGGGAAATTCCTGGTTTCAGCAAGACCCAGCCCTGGTCGTTGCGGCCATTTAGAGAGTGAACCAGTGGATGGAAGATTATCTATCCTCTCTCTCTGTCTCTCCCTCTCTTGCTGTATCTCTGACTTTCAAATAAATAAATAGATAATAAATAAATAAATCTTTAACAAAGCTTCTCGCAACAGAATTCAGAAGCATTTCCCTCTGAAGAAGAGAGGAGGGAATAAGAGTAATCATGTATTGAGTACTCACAATGTGCCAGGAAGATCAGAGTTTCACAGCTGTCATGGGACAGTGCTATGAACCGCATTATTTCCCTCTAAAATTCACATGTTGAAGTTCCAGTCCCCAATGTGACTGCATATATAGATAAGCTCTAAAAAGCTAAAATTAAAGTTAAATGAATTCATAAGAGGGGCTTCAAATAGGGCTGATGCCCTTCTGAGAAAAAAAGAGACAGTTTATCTATCGTTTGAAGACACAAGGAGCAAGCAGGTGGCTATCTACAACCCAGGAAGGCAGCCTTCACCTGAACCTGGAACTTCCTAACATTCAGAATTGTGAGAGATACCTGAGAATATGTAGGAAACGTGTGTTGTTTAAGCCATCTAGTCTCTGGTATTTTGTTATGAAGTCTGAAATGTTGAGTACAGATAGAGTGCTTATATTTCACTTTTACCCGTGAGCAAACTGAGGTCCAAAGACTGGAAGTGACTTTATAATAACACAAAAGAATCTGGATGTCAAGCCCAAATCTTGGCTTCTTCCATTAATGCTGTGTCTTTCTTTGAATAGGCTAATTTCATATGACTTTATTTTCACTAAAAAGGTAGTCTAGTTTGTTCATATCTCTGTTTTCTCTTTTTTTATGTTTATTTCTGTATGGCTGTGGGAATCTGTTGCCAATAACCGTCTTCTTTTGAATTGCTTTGATTTTCGTTGAATCCTGGATGGGATGCTCTTCAGCATGATTTAAAAGAAGGATATGCAGCATTCGTAAAGGTGGACTTTGGAGCCAGAAAGAACCTGGCTTGAATCCAGATGTGTTATTTACTAGAAACATGCACATGGGTAATTGCTAGCTTCTCTTCACCTATGTTCTTTAGAATGTTATGGCCCAGGTGCTTGGGCCCTGCACCCTATGGGAGACCAGGAGAAGCACCTGGCTCCTGGCTCCTGCCATCGGATCAGCGCGGTGCGCCGGCCGCAGCGCGCCGGCCGCGGCGGCCATTGGAGGGTGAACCAACGGCAAAGGAAGACCTTTCTCTCTGTCTCTCTCTCTCACTGTCCACTCTGCCTGTCATAGGGACTGAAGGCTTGAAAACAATAAAATGTTACTGTGCAGACTAAATAGGGTAAAGCACACAAAATGCATCATAAAAGACACACATTGATATCTACAGTTTATAGAGAATTCTCATTCCTTTGCCCTTGTAGATAAGCTGCAATGAGCAGCCTAAGTATAATCAATTGATGAATGAATAAAGAAAATGTGAAAATGTGAGATACACACACATATAGGAATACTATCAGGCCTTAAAAAAAGAAGGAATTAGTGTAATTTGCTACAACACGGATGAACTTGGAAGACACTACTTTAAATGAAATAAGCCAGTCACAGAAAGTCAAATGTGCAAGCTGTCACTCATATGTGGAATCTAAGAGTTAAACTCATGGAAGCATCAATTGGAACGGTGGATTCCAGAATTTGGAGAGTTGGGGGAAGAACTGGGGAGATGTTGGTCAAAGGATACAAAATTTTAGTTAGGAGGAATAAGTTCAAGAGAACTACTGTTTAAAACGGTAAAAAAACAATGTTTTTTTTACTCAAAATTGCTAGGAGAGTAGAATTTAAGTATGCTCATCATGAAAAACATGCACGTGAGATAATACATTTGTTAATTAGATTAATTTAGCTACTTTATAATGTATATATATATCAAAAACTATATAGCATACTATGAATATATACAATTTTTCTGCCAATTAAAAACAAAATAATTTTATCAATTTGGTTATGAAAGAATCAACAACCTAATAGAAATTTGGGCAAAGGATATAAACTGTCAATTCATGTAAGGGGAAATTCACATGGTCAGTAATTACACAAAGTGATGCACAAAAATATTCATAATTTGGGAACTGCAAATGAAAACAAATAGAATACACACTCATAAATTCAGCAAGAATTTCCAAAGTCTAACAGTGGTCTGGACAAGAATGAGGAGCAGGGAACTGCTGCTTGTAAGAAGGAAATAGTTTCAGTTATGTTGGAGAGTAATTTGGCAATGCAGTGTTTTAAAAAGTGGAAAATGAAAAGATAACCTACAATCCAGCAAGTGTGTCATTGTATATTCCCCCTAGGAGACATGTTCAAGCTGGTCACTGAAGCATTTTTTATAAAAGGGAAGCCTTATGACAATCTAAACATCTAGAGTAGATCAAAGGATACATATATTTTTGCATGTTCATATTATGTAATATTACAAACAACAGCTAAAAAAGAAGCAAATCTATAGATATCAATCTACATGAATCAAAAGAAACAATACTGTATGACAATAAAGTAATATAAATAAATTATAGACAATGACTTAGGTAAACATGCATTTTAAAACATGAATTAGAACTATATTAGAGTATATTATGTTTAGTAGATTTTGTTCTTGGAGGAAAAGGAGAATATTGGATTATCTTGTCTTTCTCTCTGGCTGTTAGGCACTTATTTTGGCCTCAGCTGGACCTCTGTGCTTCCTATACATCATCCTGACACTCCATGTCTGGCTCCTCCATCTAGTGTAGGGTCTGTTTCCCCAGCGGCTATGTAGTTGATCAAGTGATGTCACCAGAAAGTGTGCCCGGAGTGTGAGAGCTGTGACCAATGGGGAAAGGGGAAAGAAGAAGCCAGAAGACACATCCCTCTGCCTTTGGAGTTATGTTTCCCCCACCTTCCAGCTTATCTAGGTATGTTTCAATCAGCCAAGGGAGGAGCTATACCACGGCATCCGCCCACTCTCTTCACAGCTCAGTTGCCAGCATGATATGACATTGACATTTACTTGCATTTGCCTCCCAGGCTTTTTTCCCTCACTTCCCTTTTCTCCCCAGTTTCACTGCCCTGGGGTTGTATTAGCATGTAAGCCTTGCTCCAGGCTCTTTTCTCTCTGAAATCTAGCCTAAGATTTTTTAAGATGATTTTATACTTAAAAAATAATCCAATGCAAGGTGCATATGAGCTCAATGCACAGTTAACATAATTAATATGGCTAAACACAAATTATAATTTGACCTTATAAGCCTTTGAGTTTCTCAAGTTGAAGAAATCTCAGATTATTAGGTTTGCAGAAGAACTGAGCGCCTATTTTGGTAATATTTAGTCCAAATTTTGATGAACTGATTCATTATCCATATAAATGGTACAACTAGAAAGTAGGGATTTTGCCTAGACTTTTAAACTAGAGGATGTCTGAGTTGAGATACAAATCAATATCCAGTCAGTCCTTAAGTTTCAATAACTCTATTGTGATCATTTTCCCTGTGGTTCCACTTCCCACCCACAGGGAGTTGAGCATATTTTGAACAGAGAATGGTGGGCACTTACTCGCCACTGTGGTTCAAGTTGTCATAACGCAGAAAGAGGCCAGCGTAGATGGTCTCTGTCAGCAGGGCATAGATGGCGATCATGATTAGCAGCACAGCTAGCTTCAGGACAGAGTTAAGTCGGAGGAACACTGCACAGGTCACCATGGCCAACACTCCGGTGAAGACAAAGTACTGCCAACAGAGAAGCAGCAGTCAGAACGAAGAGGAATGTGAGAGGCCCCCTCTCCTAATCATGGAAGCTGATGGATTCCCTTATACAGATGTTTGTTGATGTTTCTACCAGGAGATCCTAGGGCCTCCAGAAATTCAACGGATCCCAAACAGAACTCTTCACTTCCCTATCCCCTAACCCATGTCTCCTTTTCTGTGAATGATATCACTTTTCACATCTTCGCCAAGACAGAAACCTTGGTTTCATCTTTGTTGTGTTCCTCTTGCCCACACTTCGCGTTCCAGCCATCCTATCTGCAGGTTCTATTTAACAGAGTCCATATTCAGTCGATATTCTCCTTCTGCCCTGTTTCTATCTTTACCTCTCACCAACACCTCTGGAACAATTTTCTAGCAGCTCTGCCTGCTCTTAGGTCCCAATTCCCACCTAATCCACACGATCATTCTCTACCTGGTATTCCTAAGAAGCGATCATATCACTTCTTATCTAGGAGCCCTCCTATTGCTCTCCATTTCCTCAAGTTATTCTCTCCCTTTTGAGTAGCAGAGCCCACAAGGTCGTCATGTGTTAGATTTCCTTTCACATTCAATGCTTTTCCTATGCCTCTGTGTTCTGCATCCCCAATGTCTTGTGGATCAACTGTCGTCCCTGTGACCAAAGCTTATTCTGCCAATAAATGTCAGCTCAGGTATCTTCTCTAAGAAGCCTTCTTAGGTATTTCCAGATTCTTTTGGATCTAGCCTTATTCCTCTGTGTACCCTGCATGGACCAGCATAACAACTGTTACCCTCTATTAGAAGGCACAATTCAAATTGCAAAATTTACAACCATCCAAGAGCTGGAATGTTGGAGTAGCCCCCAGGTGTCACTGCTCATTCTGATTTCAGCTTTGGTTGGGGGCTCTTCAGCCTACTGAGATACCCCAAAACATCATTCTGTGTGGTGGGTTCAGATTCTGACTAGCCAATTGGAAAAAAGAGCAAAACCTTGAATATCAAAACTCCACTTTAAAGCAGTATTGTGATCTCTATCCATACTTTCTATTTTAATATTCAAATGAACTGATCAAAATTAAACACATATTTCCCATTTGGTAGGTGAAGAAACTGAGGCTCATAAAACTTTGGCAAACTGAGGCTCATAGCTAGAAAGTGGCATCTAGCTCACTTGGATACAACCAGTTTGTGTACATGGGACTCTGGTGGGTGGGAATACTGGACTTGATAATTTCTAAAATCCCTTCCAGTCTTGTCATGAATGACTTTTTATAACAATTTTTGTTTTTCCCTCCTATTATGTGGGGAGATATTTTCTATATGGGTAGAGGAGACGGGTAAGAATTTTCAAAAATCCATGAAGATGCGTTTACTGATTTATTAAGAGGAATCGACCATTCATGCATCCTTTCAACAACTATTAATATCAACAAATCTGGATGGTGCTCTGAGTTCCCAATGAAGGCACAGGCCTGGCCATTGAGATGCATGAAGTAGACTCAGAAATGAGTAAGATATCATCTCTGCTCTTAAAGAGCCCAGTGCCTGGTGCATCTTTGACTTTTGTTTCTCCCTTTTCTAATACACCCAATTATGTCATTTTCTCAATTGGGATAGTAAGCTTTCTTTATTGTCCTTTAAATTCCTCCTTTGGGCCAGATTGTCAGGTAATTCATTCCAATGCCTCTGTGTGGAGAAAGCTGTGTGAAATGACCAGGTGAAGAGTCTCATTCTTTGGAATTTATTTTCTCTATCCAGGGTCAAAGAAAAGAGAAGGAGATCTGAGGGCTTCAGTTCCACTGTTGCATGCATCATAGGTAAGGGTTGTCATTGCAAATTATGTATCATACTTTGAATCAAAAGCCATTGAGAGGATTGTACTCTTGGGACGAAAACTGATGGGGACCCAAGAACTAAGTTTTCTAAAAGTAATAAGCATTTATTGATGCCTACTCCAATCAAGGTATGATGCTAGCACTGCATGTTCAAAGGGGGATAGGATATGGCTCAGGTCTAAAGGAAGTGGTGATCTAAAATGAGCAGCAGACATGAAACTGCCAACAATTCACCATGCAAAGTGCTTTGTAAGCAATGTGACGAAACACAGCGGGAAAACAGAGGCAGGACAAGCGTACACTATCAGGGAGAAGGCTCCTCTGGGGAAGGCTGTTTAGGAGACATGAGTTTGAGCTGGACCTTGAACGATGGAGAGGCTTTCACATGATAGAAACTGGGAAGACTGGCTAGTATGAGTATAAAGTTATGAAGGAGCAGAAGAATTAGTTCCTCAGGTTATGTTAGAGGACCACGCAACTATTTATGAGAGGTATTATACAGGTGGGCAGAGCAATGTCAGAGGTTCTCTAAAGGGCTTCTGAAGGTTTACTAGGCAAAGATGATCATGTATTTGCAAAATGGATCAATAGGAACTAATTTTTTTTTATTGCCTCAACCAACTGGGTTAGTATCCTCTTGCCATCTCTGCTCACCATCCTGTGCTCCATTGAAAGAAATCACCTCATTGACTTCCCCTTCCTGCTTCACAGTGTGATGTTGAACCTTCTAGGAGTGCTGCAAACCATGAAACATCAACTGCAATGAGGCCCCTGGACAATATCAAGGACATCTCCTCTATCCCTTTTAAACCTTGATTGGATAGTGCAGGTGTGACCAGGAAACAGGAAAATAGGAAACTACGGAAATTGCAGCTTTGTGAAAACTTTTCTCTCTCCTTTGGTTTGGACTCCTCTATTGCACATTCCCTATAACTTGGGGAGATACTAGGCTTATTGCAATTACTAAGTTTCTATCAAACAACAGTTTCTGTGTTTTTATGCTACCCTATGAAGACAGATCAAGTTGGGAGATGCATTTTTAGGATTGCTCAGCCAAACCTACAGGTATGGAAAAGACCATCAAAGCAGAAGATTTAAAAATCAAAACAGAAGATACAGAGATTAAAATTTAGGAACTATCATATTTGAGGAATACTGGAAGAAAAAATATAAGTATACAGATTAGGAATTGTTAGAGATTTGAAGAGGAAAACTATAGGACAGTAGTGAAAAAGCACACAGGATAGCTCCAAGATTAGACAACGATTTTGAGATGAGCATTCAAATGGCAATGTAGAGTGATTTTAAAAATAATTAAACTAGAAAGTAGGTTATAAAATTGTGTGTATATCCTGATTACACAATTCAAAAAATGTACAGTAATGCAAAATATGTACATGATGTACAGCTTTTGAGCAAATTTTTTCCTTTTGTAATGTCCTTTAACATGCAATATTAAATGAGGGAGTGGATGAAATATACTGTTTGGAAGTGAGTCTTTGTACCCATTATCTTTTTAAAAAAGTTTTATTTATTTATTTTTAAAGCAGAGTGATAGGGATGGCGGGAGAGATCATCCATCTGCTGGGTCACCCCCCAGATACCCGTAACTGTTGGGAACTGGCCCAGGCAGAAGCCAGGAGCTAGAACTCCATCCTAGTCTTCTTCTTGGATGACAGGGATGCAGGCACTTAAGCCTTGGTTTGCTGCCTTCCTGGAGCACTATCAGGAAGCTGGATCAGACAGAGGATAGCCAGGACTTGAACCAGGCATTCTGATGTGCAATGCAGGCAACCTAAGTGGCTGCTTAACCTGCTGCTCCACAACGTCCACCACTCTTCTTAGACATTTTAATGGCATAAATTAGTAATACTGAAACATGTGTGAAAAAATGTTAGGGCCTGGAAAGGTTCCCAGGAATCTTTAATAAAGGAAACAGGCAATCTGCATTCTAAGGGTGTTACCTTTACTTTAGGAATGAGAAGAAGAGATTCAATGATAACACATTTAATTTAATTTAATCATTGAAATATTGAATTCCATAATGTTCAGTATCACTTTCCTATCCAAGCGAGGAAAAAGAGGTAAAAGGCAGCTTAGTAGGTATGGTGGAATGTGCATAGAAGAAGAAGGACAAACACCAGAGATGTGGAAATGTGATACAATCAGGTCTCTAAATTAGATGAACTCTAGGTAAGAAGGGGGTACCAGCTGGGAGTGGTGATATTTGTGCATCAGGGGAAAGTTGGTGTAGCATAGATGTAATAATTACAATTGAACATTTACTGGGCAAATATTCTGTGCAAGGTACCCTATAAATGACTTTCCCTGCTTCATTTTACTTAATTCTTAAAATGACTCAAGGATGAGTACTATTCTTTTGACTCTTTCAGAGAAGAGGGGAATATATGTAACATTTTTTTCTGCTACTAAATACAATTTTCTTCTGTCAGATTATATAGTGGCTTGGGATATCACAAGTGGAGCAATCTCTTCCATGTTTGGAAAAAAATGGAAATTTATGGTATGAGAAGGTGTTAAGGGGAACAATATGTGATTCTGTTTATGTGACATGAACATTTTATTAACTAAACCATGCTTTTGTTATTCTGCACTGCAATGGTTGACCAATGCACTACTCTGTGCCAAGAATTGCACCAGGCTGTAAGGCACCACACTAGTGTTAGGGCATTGTCATAATGTATTCTAAATTACCTTGGCAATATAGCAAATCTTCATAGAAGCGGTGGGGGAGGAATTTGGCAAATGATCACTGAAGAGGAAGCTGAGTCTCTACTATGCAAGTCATATAAACTGGGCTCCCTTCACCCATTGGTCGCTACCCAGATCCCACAGCCTTATGAACTCCAATGATGAGAACAATGAAATCAGAAAAAAATTCAAAAATTTCACTGTGATTCAAAGGAATAATCCAACTTACTGACTCACACAGAATCTAATTCTTAGCCATCATAACTCATGGTGCAAGCAGCACAGTGAAGTCCCAACAGGCAAAGGCAGAGGCTGTTCTACATCTCCCCGAACCTCAGCCCACATTGCCCATAGCCCAGGAATGAGGGTGTTGTAAGCCTGCGAGGGCACCACAAGGGCTGAGTTGAGACAACTGGACTGACTATCCAAGCTCCAGTCTAGATTGTGTCATGTAGGAAAAATAGAGCGAAGGTTGGGTAGTTACTGAATGAGTGGGAAAGAAAGGGGAGAAAACACCAGGATGCCAAGACATGGAAATACTGGCTTGCAGGGATCCTTTAAGCCAAGCTCCTATTGCTCTCACAAAACAGCGAACTGTTTATTCAGATGTGCCAGAACCTATCATAAAGGGGCTTCATTTGAAAATGAGGGTCTTTCCATGGAAGCCACTGAGAACCACATTTAGGTGCTGGAGTGAAAGACATTCTGTTTTGTGCATGTGATCTCCATTCATTTTACCAACAGAAGTCTTTTCCCTCCCCGAGACAATTTTACAGATCACAGCTGGAATATGCTTTTTTTCACTCTTATTTTCCCATTTTATGTATCTTCAGTAGCTGCCAGAATTCCAGTTCAGAACTCAGCTATACTTTACACCATATGCTACAGCAGCCTCAGGTTTATGTCACATCAAGCAGTTTGAGAATGTGACTTTGGACTGCGTATTGTTTCTCATGGGGCAGAGTAGAGCCATCACGGACTCAGAGGAGGAAACCAAGGCTCAAGTCTTTCCAGAAGTGAAGATCTAGTTCCTTCAAGTTCGGCAGACACATATCTAGGCAGACAAGCACAGCTCTGTATTTGCAGAAGGCAAAGCCTGGGGCAAACCAGGTGCTTGCAGTAGATGGCAAATATGTCCTGTGGCCTCAATTTATTGAGCAAGATGATCCTTTGGTTGTGGAGGAAAATAGTAAGATTGTGCCTCATATTTCTTTTATCTGACTTTTTAACATTTTTAATTTTTGACTATATTTCAAAACATGCATGTATGTTAGCACCACACTACAGATGTATACAGCTCTATGTTTACATATAGTGTAAACTGACAGTGCAGGTTTGAAGTCTTTTTACTGGAAACAAAAAATAAATCACAGTTGATGTTGAAGTAGCAGATACTTCCTGCCAGGAATGGCTCTAAATGTTCTACATGGATTAATTCACTTAATCTACAAAACCACTATGTTTAATCCTCATTTTAGAGAACAGAAAACTGAGGCACAGAAATTAAGCTGTGTGGGTAAGAAGCTTAACCACCACTTTTGTAGGACTGGCACATGCAGGATTTTTGTGGCTCTGAGTTCGGAAGCCCAGGTGTGAGGTCCAGAGTAGACAAAGTTAATGAAGAGTGAGGCTGAGACACATTTTAACAGCTTATAAGCATCTGCCCCAGATCAAATGCCATGCTAGTGACTAAACGTTTGCTAATTCATCTAGGCACTGTGAAAACAGGTAACTCCCTATTATCCGCTTGGAGAAGGTATTAATTTTCCCATTATACAGATGAGGAAACTGAGGCTTAGCAAAAGTAAGAAATGATCCTAGATTTCACTGCTAGCAAGGCCTGGTTGGAAGTAAAATCCAGCTTTTGTCTTGTTTTCATCATCCAATTCTGGGCCTACTTGCTGTCCCTTGAGGCTAAAACATTCCCCGTGTTCTCCAAACTAAGAGGTTCTCAGGAATCTGACATCCCACAGTGAATGCTAACTAGGGCCCATTCCTTGCTAGAAGGAAGGGCTCATGTCCTGCCCATCCTGACACATGCCTAAGAAGAGCTTGCTCCGCATCTAGGGACAGGGCCTGGATTCAGAAATGTGGCATTAGGATAAGATATCCATCTTGGTTTGAAGTACCAAGCCTTGGTGACTATATAAAAAGAGAGAGGGAAGGAAAGACAGAAAATGGCAGGGTCAAAGCAGTGAGAAAGAGAGGAAGCCAGGCAGGTGTTGTGCTGAGTGCACCTAGCAAGGTACTGTCTGGGGCCTTGCTTCCTTCTGTATGAAGTGGACAAAGCAGTCTCTGTCCTACCCATCTGCAGGATTCCTTCATCTTATGATTACCACGTAGGTGCTCTGCACATGCTGGTGCAGGGAGGTGGGGCTTGCCCTCCTCTCACAAGGCTTCTCAGAAAAGTTCCCGGGCCTAGAGGAGACTACCTAGAGCCTCTCCCCATACTGGGGGTCCCTGAGCCTGGCAGCCCCTTAGAGAGCAAATCCACCCACAGGCCTCAGGGCATGGGGTTGGTTGGGGTGTGGTGTGACCACGCAGCTGCTCTTCCTCCTAACCCAGAACTGCTACACAGTCTCCCATCCCTCCCTCCCTTCCTTTCCTCCCCTCCCGTTCCGTCCCTTCCTTACCTTCAAACCCTACCCGCAATTATGTATCTTCGTGAATGTTCGTACCCCCGTAACTTAGATAGTATCTAGCACCTTGTTAAAGGCCAAATCGTGTTGCCAG